TGTTAACATTAGTGGTAGCTAGGTAGAGAGTATACAAGAACTCAATTATATTTCCAGCTCTTCTCTAAATCTAAATTATTTATAAAAAATAAATATCAACCCAAAATTAAAAAGAAAAAAAAGAAAGCAAAACAAAACAAGAGTTCTCTAGGGACACCCAAAAATAACAAGAGAGACAGAAACCACAAGAGCAAATTTTACCCTCTTATACCACAGTTGCAGCAAACAATAAACACAGCATAACTCTGAGCGAGATAAATGTAAAACCGCACACTAAAACCTTTTTATCTAAGTGTTTAGCCCAGTAGATTCCGTCCCACTTTCAACAACAACAACAGAATTACAAGGCATACTAAAAGGCAAAACACACAATTTGAAGAGACAGTGTGAACATTAGAGTTGTATATAAACCCGTTTTTAACTTTAAAGGATAAAGGAGAGGAAAGTAGGCTGGATAATTTACAAAAAAGAAAAGAGGCAATACAAGGATTTGGCTGCTACTGATACCCATGAATTCTACAGCAGCTGCTGCACTATATAAATGCTTTTGCAACTACTATTTGAAATGGTACTGGGAGTTTTAGCCAGTGCAAGTAGACAAGGCAATTGGAGAGATAATAATCAGAATGGAAAAGTTATAAAGCTTGGTGGCAATGAATAAATTGAACTTTGGGGAAATGCAAAAAGTACATGAGGAAATTACTGCAAATAATAACAGAATTTAGTTACATAATAGGAAATACAATTACCAAGCAGATAAGGCAAAAAAAGTGTGAACCTCAGTCCGTAGTTTTATTGTTAAAAGTTGTATTTGTATTTAAAAATATATATCCTTCATATATTTAAATGTATATACAGATAAAGCAAATTAATAATTTTATTAATGCTCTTCAGAACCAAGAAATGAGTGTAACAGAAGAAAAAACTAAAGTATAAAACCATAATTTAACTAAATCCCTTACATTTAAAACTTTAAATATCATTAGAGACTCATTTTCTTTTAAAAAATAAATGTTTACTTTTGCCCACGTAAAGACCAAATACCAGTAATAGTTCGGCAGAAACAAGCGTGACTAATGCCTAGACCTAGTGTCTACATATATTCTCCACTTAAAGGACACAAGGCTTCTAAATGAAATGACAAACCCTGGGTCTTGTCGAGATGTATGAAATGAAACTGTAATGTCTTATGCCACAAAAGCAAAAAAGCTTTCAAAGACAGATTGAAGTGTTCACTTGGCCAAAGAAGAGGTAATTGGGGCACTAAAAAAATGACTAACATTGATTCAAACTGATTGAATATGTAAAAATCCAGTTTTACCAGGGTCAGCAATTAGGTCACCAACATCATTTAAAATGCCAAGCAAAGGGAAATAATTAAAAGTTAATCTTGTATTTTCTGAAATAACTATTACTGGACTGGAAATAACTATTACTATAACAACTATGTTGTTACATAGCCCTCTCTGATTAGAGAAATTCCTTTCCACAGAAGTCCACCTAATAATTGTGGAAAGAATTAGAAAATCATAATTTTGGAATCCCTAATGAAAAACTAATTCAAACAAGTCTTCTTAATGTGCAACTATTTTATAAAATGCTTATAAAAACTTTATAATTCCAATAATCAAACAACATCACTGAAAGTGAAATAATCTATTATTATCTGGGATATGACAAAATATCAGTACATGCCACAACTTCTAAAGTGTTCCTAGCAACAACATTTGAACCAAAATCTAATTCAACAATTAGAAGTAACTTTTAATTCTTACTCAGGTGGATAGGGTGAATAGAATTGCAAGTTAACACCTCAAGGGGTCAGATAAACAATTGAAATTCTCACACAAACAAATCAAAATATGAAATTTGTAACCATTTTGTATTTTGTAACCATTGGGAAATTTACATAAAGTAGATATCAAATGATGCTAAGGAGTTATTTTTAATTGTGTTATGGTGATATCACTGGTGCTATGTAATGGCCATTTTTTAAGAGATGTCAACTAATATAGAAGGGCAATGACATGCAGGAGATTTGCTCTAAAATATTTCAGCAGCAAAAAAGCTAACAAACAACCAAAAAAAAAAAAAAAAAAAAGTACCTAAAGCTAAAGCACCAAATTACTCATATGAGTTGATCAGTTTGGGTGATGAGTCTTTAGAAGTTCAAAACCTTCTCTCTAGTCTTGCATGTTTGTAATATTTCATAGATAAGAAATTAAAAGCAGTGAATAAATAGATGAATGGCTTAAAAAAGAAAAAAAATAGGCTGGCAGAGAAAATAGAACAAAGAGTCACTATTCAAAATAAGCTTTGGAGAAAACAAATACAGAATAAGATCAATGCCAGGAATCCTAAAGCTTACATTCAACTAATAAAAAATAGCAATAACAAAGTCTGGAGCAAGATAAAAGGAAATTTTATTAATGCAATACAACCAGCTGCCCACTGGACTTCCTATGCTGAGAAGAAGTAACAATGATAATTTCCAACAGGTTAGAAAAGTATAAAGCTGCTGTCTGGATAGTTCTCTTGCCAGGATCCAGGTGCTGCAGAATAGATCCTGAAGTAGCTCCAGATAACCCCAGGAGACCAGAGGAAGACAAAATTGTAAATGGAAAGCATCAACTCCAGTGTAAGCCTCAGGATAAATTCCTAAGTATAGGTCACAGAAATTGGAACTATGAGAGAAGAAATAGCCTATCTGGGACAAGATTCATGACAATGACACTAGTTGAACGATAACATCTAATAGGAACTTGGAATCTAAAGGCTTTGATCCAGAAAAGTGGAGATACAGACCAACTGCCATGTATCCATTCACCCGCCATAGTCAGCAGAGGAAGACTACTTCTCCTAGTCTTAGGTGGACCATGTTTCTCCAAAGATGAAATCAATTGAAGATTTATTTTTCATAGCATTTAAACAAGCTAACAGGGGCGCCTGGGTGGCGCAGTCGGTTAAGCGTCCGACTTCAGCCAGGTCACGATCTCGCGGTCCGGGAGTTCGAGCCCCGCGTCAGGTTCTGGGCTGATGGCTCGGAGCCTGGAGCCTGTTTCCGATTCTGTGTCTCCCTCTCTCTCTGCCCCTCCCCCATTCATGCTCTGTCTCTCTCTGTCCCAAAAATAAATAAACGTTGAAAAAAAAATTAAAAAACAAACAAACAAACAACAACAACAAAAAACAAGCTAACAATAGAAGTAAAACAATACCAAGAATTAAAAATCCTTTCCAGCTACCCTTGACACAATTAAAGAAGGATTCAAGGTCCATCAGATCAAGAGACAATAAAGGGAGATACTTCCAATATTCCAGGCAAAGTGTGAGCAGGAGATGGTGACCAGGTGTGGATCCTGTAGGTCCCAGAGGACTTGAGTTGACATCTTCTAGTGAGGGGGGTATTACAACTCTACAATGGGATTCCCAAACATGCAGGTGTAACAACTTCACTTACTAGAGATACTAAATGTCAGTTCAAACTGCTTCAGAAATATACATGGTGATGTTGTTATTTTTTCTGTTTAAAGCAGTATATTTTATTGTTTTGTTTTCAAGTTTATTGAGGTATAATTGACAAAACTGTAAGATATTTAAAGTGTAGAATGTGATGGTTTGACATATATAGTGTCAAAGGATTCCCCCCACCAAGTTAATGCACATATATAAGCTGACGTTCTTAAAGGTCCAAGCAACTGTAGGTGTCATAATTTCCAGGTACATACTTTGGATTCAAAGTGTGATCTACGGTCCCAGCATTGGTATCACCTGGGGATTTTTTAGAAATAATGATCCCTTTATAGAACTATTGAATCAGCAACTGCATTTTAAGAATATTCAGAGACAGTCTGTAGATACATCAAAATTTGAAAAGAACTGTTGTAGAAATCTGTGGAATTAGGAGCTAGATTACTCATTGTAAAAACAATTTACCAATCCTATTAAAATAAGTTAACTAAACCAAATACACTCTTAGTTTTCAAACACAGAATTTATACCCAGGTATATACATGTAGCACATTACAAATAAGTTGTATTACCATATTTTTACTTTAAATTCTTCAGGTTCCAACTAACGACTGACCAAAGAGAAAATCTCACTGTCGAATAGCATTTGATTTGGAGTCTAGGACCCAAAATTAATTTGTAAATTGGGATCCTAAATACTTTACTACATATACCATAACTAGCATATAAATATACTATTAAATATACTACTGCAATAAAATCTTACATTTCAGAATAAGAAAACACAAATTTTCAAATGCAAAAAGAGAAGGAGAGAAGAGAGAGAGAGAAAGAGAGAGAGAATGAGAGAACAGGAAATTAGGCATTTTGAAAAACCGAATGAATTTAGTACAAAAACTAAATAGAAAATTTGATAGTCTCAACTGAGAAATTAAACACTTAAAAAATTACAGTGTCTCTAATATCCATAAAATAAGAAAAAAGACATTATGTGGTAGGAATAAACAGATTTGTGAAATTTTAATATATTTTTCTAAATTTGGGAGAAAAATGCAACTAATGAACTGAGTAATACTATGAACATAGATAACAATAGAAATTTGAATCTGAGGACAGAAACTGAATATTCTTCCAAAATGCAGGTGATATGAGCCAAAACGGAAAGTGTTAATGAAAACGTAAAATGCTTGATGATTCAAAATTTCTCTTATCCTTCTTTACAGGCATTTCACAGGGAGAAAAGTGAGATACCTGAGATGCTATAAAAATAAAATAAAATTGTAACTGAAAATGTTCCAAAGCAGAAGAAAATAAATCAATTAAAATAAAAATCGAAAAGAGCAACAAGTATAGAAATGTTTACAGGAAGAGGAAAATAGTTATCCACAAAGGAAAAAAGAGTCCAGTTGGCATCAAAATTTTCAGAAGCAACTCTGGACACAAAAAAAACAGTATCAATTTCGAGTTATTTTTTGCAAGCTATAGAGGCTAACACTGGCTTTCTTAAACAAATAGGGGATTGACTGGAGTGCTGCTACAAGTGGATCATATAACTAATATCGGTATAGATGAGTAGGTTCAGAAATTAAAAAAATAAATAAAGACATTTCACAGCTTACACTGCAGAGATAATTTGGTCAGGAAACTACTGTTACCACTACTGGGTGCTGCCCTTGCTGAGGGCAGACATGAACAGGGAGTTCCAGCTTCTCTGTCATCTCGCCTTCAATCTCTCTCTCAATCTCTGTCTCTGTCTCTGTCTCTGTCTCTGTCTCCCTAGCTTCAGTGCTTTAGGAAAAACAATGTACTTGACTGATGCTTCTTCTGACGCTTTTACCTTAACTATTAGTGGCTGATGAGAAGAAAAATTCCTCTCATTATGATCCTACAGGTATGATGCAACAAAGCATCACACTAACATTATGAAACTTGGAAAGCTACCCCAAATACCAAGAATTGCCTTTTATCACTTGATGTTGTGATACGAGTAGAACCTCAGGAATCCCTATCGTCCATTCTTCTGTGTCCACAAGCTCAGTGCATGACAGAAATCTTAACTCCTCTCTCACCACCAGAATTAGTCATCTCAGAGAGTCAGGTAACTGCATATCTTGCGTAGGACTCAGTCACGAGGATCTTCAAATACACAGGAGGCAGGCTGACCTTCCAACAATAGTGGAAGCATGTTGATTCATAATGAGAGCACTTCATTCATAATGAAAGTATATTGTGATTCATAATGAAAGTACTTCTCTTTGGGGTTCTCATAGCATGATATCAGATTCCATAATCACAGGGGAAAATGGTAAAAATTACCTAGTAAATATTAGTGTATATTAGTGTCAGCCCCACTTCTAATATTTGTTCTCAAATCTATGAAATTTGAAAATGGGAAGAACAGTAATCTAGTTTATTAGGTCAAAAAGTATACAATATCCTAAGGAACAGTTACTCTTCTGAACTGTAGTCTTCTAGCATTTCAATAAAATAGAAGGCTGTATTTTCTGGCTGATACAGCGTTATGATAAGACAGGTATATCACATGGCATCAACTCTTTATTTCTTTTACTGCAAAAGGAGTTTTTCTTCAGGAGCACAGTTGCACGGTTTAATAAGTTTTAACAGATCCAGTAAACATACCGATACAATTAATAATAGAAATATGATGGGTAGGATAATGTGTCCTATGTCTGATCCTGCTGCCCCCACTGTTATAGGAAAGGTCCAAGGCAATTAATTTGTTTTCCATCTATTCTTCTTCTCCCCAATATTTAGTACCTGGAATGACAGTAGCCCGGTCCTCAACTAATTGCTGCTTTAGGAAAAAACTATAGGAGTCAACTCTTTATGTGAATGTGCTAGAAAACGTGAAGTGTAGGTTATTAAGATAGAAGGCCATCTCACTTCTGTCTGATATGACAGACTCAGCAGAGGCTATGTTTCTGTCACTGACCCTAGGTTCCTTCTTTCAGTCATTCATGGACCCAGCCTGGTCCAGTGATGGCTGTGTGAATGCTGAAAATTTAAAACTGTGGGCAATATTGAATAAGGTTGAGGATACTGAAGTATAGGTTACCGCTAGTAAAACAGGAGATAACAAAAATAAAACAATGCATATGAGAAAACAAGATTAAGGGGTCAGATAATTTTTTTTTTTTTACTTTTTAACAATGTTTATTTATTTTTGAGAGTGAGAGAGCAACAGAGAGTGAGTGAGTGGGGAGGAGCAGAGAGAGGGGGAGACACAGAATCTAAAGCAGGCTGCAGGCTCTGAGCTGTCAACACAGAGCCCCATGTGGGGCTCGAACCCATCAACCACCAGATCATGACTCCAGCTGAAGTTGGACGCTTAACTGACTGAGCCACCCAGGCACCCCTCGATAATTTTCTTTAAGCAATAGTTCTTATGTTGGCCTGAAAGGTGGCATCTTCCTTGATGGGTAATTATGTTTTATACCATTCACTGTGGCATCCCTAAACAGAGCCTGATCCTCTATCCTTTTCAACAACATTGTAAATACACAAGATTTTATAACTAAATATATTCTAATTTACAACAATTAAAATTAGTTGCATTTATTGTTCTGAATTTAGAACTCATACAGTAGATGATATCAAAAGTGAGTTAAAATGTATGGAACTGACTAGTTGTCAGTGGCAGAAGGCAAAGAACTCTAGTTATTTTTTAATCTGTGGCAAAATATTTCACAAAACTGTAACCTGTGTTATTCTCAGTGGCGGCTCATGTTGCCAAGAACCTGAGCATTACTAGAACCATCCCGTAAATCTCAAAATGTAACTGTGTGTTGGATGCTGCTTTTGACTTTTACCAAATTATTGCAAGAACTGAGGCTCATTATAACAGGTGGTTGTGAAGACGCAGCCTTAGCAGGAAGTAAGACTGAAAAAATTTTCCCAAGAGACTCAGTAGAAGCCTGCCAAATCAAACAGCCAACTATCAGATATCAGATGCTACCTTTCCACCACAGCCTGTAATTTCGATGCCCTCAAGTTTGCTACCATAAATCTAAGAGAGAGGAAAGGGCTCAGCAAAAATGCATTGATAATAGACAAAGTCAGATTCAGTGCTTTGTCTAGACAAGGTTTTCCATGTGTTCCCTTGCCCATCTAACTGACTGAAAGAAAACATATCCAAGCCAAATCAGTTTCTAGTGATTTATATTGCCAAAGATACCACAAACCTGGCCTGAAAAGCACAGTGGCTGTTTGATTCCTAAGGCAAACTCTGGGCTTCAAACCTGTACCAGATGGAAGCTGGCCGTGAAAGCCATACAGTCACAGTAGACATTGAGCAGGGAGACTATCCCCAGTGAGCAGAGCCAGAGTCTACAGAACACAATGAGACAGGAGTCAACCCAGAGAGTAAAACTAGTGTTTCTACAAGTAATTTACAACACTGCCAACATAGGCATTTTTCAAAAATCTTGCTCAACAATATTTTATAACTCCTGTGGATCAGGGACTGCCTGGAATCTCTGATTCTTTTGTTTTCTTTTCTTCTTCTTCTTCTTCTTCTTCTTCTTCTTCTTCTTCTTCTTCTCCTTCTTCTTTTTATTGTAGTGTAGTTGACACACAATGCTACATTAATTTTGGGTGTACAACATACTGATTTGACAAGTTTAAACATGATGCTATGCTCACCACAAGTGTAGCTACCATCTGTCACCGTACAATGCTATTGCAATACATTGACTATATTCCTTATGTTGTGCTTTTTATCCCCAAGGCTAATTCATTCCTTAACTGGAAGCCTGTATCTCCTGCTTGCCTTTACTTATCTTGACCATCTCCCCATCCCCCACCCCTCTGGCAACCATTTGTTCTCTGTGCTGACAGGTCTGATTATGCTTTTGTCTTGCTGTTTATTCATTTGTTTTGTTTTTTAGATTCCACATATAAGTAAATTCATATGGTATTTATCCAATAATTCCACTACTGGGTATTTACCTAAAGAAAACAAAACACTAATTTAAAAGCCTATATATATATATATATATATATATATATATATATATATAGGCTTTTATGCTCATACAGCACCAATGGATACTGGCTGTGAATTTGTTAGATTATAGGTCACCAGACCACAAAATGCTACATCCAAAATGATAAAGTCTACACCACACTTAGAAATTGTAGACCTGGATATGGATGTGATAACTATTAGACTTGAGTTGCTTCATTTCAGGGAAGTTGGAGTTTGTGTTACTGCTAGAGGCAAGTCTGAGCATTGCTATGCCACACGTAATGTCCTCTTTTTCAGAGTACAGATGCAAAAGCATCTCTGAGTTTTAGGTATGTTACTGAGGTCAGGTTTTTGGGAGTCAGATTTTTGGGCCCAACCACGACAGAACCAAGGCCAGACCTGAACGTCAAAGCACAGTCGAGGCTTTATTGGGGCAATAGCACTAGCTGAAGGGAGACACAACACCAACAGAAAGTAGGCCTCCCCAAACAAAGAGGAGGTGCTGCTTATATAGAGGAAGTCCCCACTCAGTTTCCACCCTAGCACAATGCTAATAAGGGACAGAAAAGTGACTTGTTCTGATTGGTCGATATTGGCAGGTGAACTCAAGGAGCTCATTGTTTTTTAAAGCTAAGGTCTTTGAGGTTTGTGAGCCTCTGTTTCTTCCATGAACAAGATATGGCTGTGGCTGTTGTTTGTAAGTCTTGCTTATATATTGGCCACAACCTGGTTTTGCTTGGTAAGAGAAGAGGTTCAGCAAAAACAGCCAAGAGGAAGTGCCCCAGGTATATAATGTTTTTCCTTAGGGGCCTGTTCCCATGGTCCCTGGCTGTTTAGGGAAGGCATATGGTGACCAAGGTAGGCAAGACATGCTTTCTCCACTTGAAGCTAAAGATGTCAGTGTGATAAGTACTTGATAATGAGGATGTAAACAAAAATGATAGTTTTAACATTACTGTGAGAATTTACGTGACAGAGATACAATTATACTTTTATCTCATTCTTCATCAATGATATGATAATACTACATGTATTTACTCTTAATTCAAAACATCCTTGAAATGTTTTTTTAATGACTCTCCTTTCAAATTTTGCAGGTATAAAACTGTATGTCAGCAAAAAGTGACTGACAAGAAGAAAAGAGTTAAACCTGAGAGACCTAATGCATAAGAGAATGTTGGAGAGATTTTATTTTCCTTTGTCACAGATGGGAGAAATTTGAAGAGGACTAATGGTTTAGAGAACATTCCTATATACTATAAAATCTGGAGACCTGCCCATTAGAATCTGTATCTGTGCCCATAAAAGATCTACATCTTGAAATCAAAGCATCTGTCTTATATTTGTGTTTTATTTACGTAGATTAATCCAGCTAATAAGCTAGATCTAACTAGAAAACTCTTATATATGCCTTTCTTTGTTCTTAATAGATGGAAAGGTAGAGGACTTTCTATGACAATATTATGTCGGGAACATAAAGTATGCATCTTTGAAACTGGACGTTCCTTGCAAGGATAAATGTCTTTTTAAAATCTTATCTTTGCAAAAATGCAAAAGGAAAAGTCATTTTTAACATCTTTTTAAAGGTGTTTTGAATTTAGAGTAAATGCAATGAAGTATCTCCATAGCCCTGATCAAGGAGAGGGATGAATGTACAGGCATATGTCTGTCACTTAGCAAATTCTCATAACAGTGTCAAACCTAAATCTGGTGTAAAAAGGACTTGTATTTATGGTAGGAACTCTGCAAACCATTAACTGTTTTGTGTATATGTATAAGCCGCTCAAAGTAATTTGTGGTAAAAGCACTAATGTTAATAAATTTCCATATCTTAAAAGACTTACTGCCGGTAAATTTGTGGAGCCACTTAAAAAATTTCAACCTAAAGACAGTTTTATCTTCTCCTTACTTGGTTTCTCTTTTTCTCTCTATTTCTGAGCTTAGAATATTTACTGTTTTGCTTCTACTCAACTCAGCCTCTATTTCTGCAGACGGCCTAATGAATACATAAGCACCACATAACTATGAAAAGTTAAAATGGAGGAGCCAAAACCAGGCTAGTGAGCAAGGCAATTGTACTAAATCTACCTTTTCTGTAATATTCTGGCAGCTCAAAAATTTCCCGACTGGAATATTTATTTGAATATATGCTAATTTTCATAGAATGATATGCACTTTAGAGGATGTAAAAACAAAGTTTGCTCGTATTGTAGGTAGATACTCCAAGTGTGCACATATCTGTCTGTTAAGTATCTGCACAGAGACCTGTTATTAAGACCAAATTTGCAAGGAAACTTTGTTATATGCTTGGGCATAATAAGAATTCAGACACTTTTTTTTACCTATTATGGAAAAATATATACAAACGTAAAAAAATATAAAATGGTACTGTACCAAAATAAAAAACAAGTCTCTGAAATGATCCTGTGACTCCTAGATCTCTTCCTAAAGGAAAACTCTTTTCTGATTGGAGTATTCACTTCTTTAAGTGATCACTCCATAATATACATTATATGAATTTATATCTACTTTTCATATAAATGTTTTTTTACTCTCTAATGTCTTTCCATTTTGGAAATTAAAAGTTTAACTCACTCATGCCATTTTACTATTGTTCACTTTTTTTTTAATGTTTATTTTTTATTCATTTTTGAGAGAAGAGAGAGAGAGAGAGAGAGAGAGAGAGAGAGAGCAAGGGAAAGGTAGAGAGAGGGACAGAGAGAATCTCAAGCAGGTTCTGCACTGTCAGCACAGAGCCCGATGTGGGGCTTGAACCCACGAACTGTGAGATCATGACCTGAGAGAAAATCAAGGGTTGGACACTTAACCAACTGAACCACCCAGGCGCTCCTATGGCTCACTTTCTATATTCATATTATTAACTTTATTTAGGTAGAAACTAATTCAAGTCAGTTAGTTAGTTTAAATTAGCATACTTTTATATTGCCTGGTTTCAAATCCTGACTAAAACTCTCTCAAAAAATATATACCTATATTAGCATATATTCATTTTGAGAAAGTTACATGACTTTTATGTTTCTTAGCTTTATAATCTATAATGTCAAGACAACTGGCCATATTGGAGGCAGTTATGTGATTATGTGAGAGAATGCATATAAATTAGTTAGAATAATACCTGGCACTTTTAACTACATAATAAAATTATCTAACATTGTAATCATTTTGCCATTAAACCTATAGAAGTATACAAATATTTCCATGATAGGTACATTCCCACCTTTTGTTACATATATGTTAGACAGTATGATAAGCCATTGCTAACATCTTTTGCCTTTTCCACCTAATCTCTGTGTCAGACAAGATGGTTTCCAGTTACATTCAAGTATAAAATAACTTTTTCAATTATCAAAGTATAGTAATTTAATATTTATTTCTATAGACATAATTAGATCCTCCATGCTTTCCAGATAAATTGACCCTCAAAACTGAAAATCTTTGAAAATATTATGTTTACAGCATTATGGCTATGCTAACAATGTTGAATACACAAACCAAATTGGGAGTTAGAATTACATTATCTTCATCATGGCTTCATTGCCTTCATTCCTGCCGAGTTGAAGACAAAACATTTAAAATCATAATTTTAAATACATTATTTTTAAATTTTCCCTTATTCAAAATCAGGTCCCAATTTGCTTCATAAATGGGCCATACTCCTTTTAAATATTCTCATTTGATATTACTAGTATTCTTTCTTTTGTTTTTGCATATACAATGAACAAATGTCTTTATCCTAAACACATTGGCATTCCTCTATATTACACTATAATCTCCAGAGACTTTTACCCTCCTGCTTTTCTCTGCTACAGCTGCTTTCTAGGACTGTGTTACAGCTAAATCCTGGGAGTTTATTCATTGCACTTCAGTCATAGGTCAGTATTTGATTTATATATGCATCGTATGCCTTAATTTTCTTGATTGTCTTCACATTTTGCCTTATTTGCCTTCACAATTGATTCCTATTTTGGTTGTGTTGAATTAAAATTTCCAAATCAGGGACACCCGGCTGGATCAGTTGGTAGAGCATGGGACTCTTGATCTAGGGGTTGTGAGTTCAAGCCCCACATTAAGTGTGGAGTTTAGTTAAAAATAAAATCTTGAAAAATAATAAAATAAAAAAATAAAAATTCTAAATCATTCTGTATTAGAAAGTTGAGGCATTTCTCCATTTAGTTATAGAAAACGTGTAGACAATCTGATTTGCATTTTGTGGTGGTTAAATATATTCTTCTACAAATCTTTAAAGCTTATAATTTTATTCTTATAGTTTTGAAATCTCCATGAGAATATGCTTTTCTATGGGCATTTTAAATATAAGCAGCTTGACATTCTATGAGCTATTTTCGTTCGGACACTTATGCCTAATTGCAATGCTAGAGTGTTATCTACTGTTATCAATTCAAAATTGCCTTTCCCACTGTTTAGTCAACTCTTTTTTTCTTTCAAAACTATTATTAACATTAACTTCTCTGACATTAATTTTTGACATTTTACTGAGGTGCAATTGACACCCAAATTCACCCAAATTCACACAGGTTGTACAAGTTGTACAACATGTATGTTTCTGTGTGTGTCCATGGAATATCACCACAAAGTAATGAATTTATCTATGACCCACAAAATTCTCCTTTCTGTCATTATAAACTAGTTTCCCTTTTCTATATTATTATATAATTACAGTTACATTGTATACGTTCTTTTATTGTCTGGCTACTTTCCTCAACATAATTGACTTTCATTCATGTAGTCCTGCAATCAGTAGTCATTTGACTTTTTTGCTAATATCATCCCACTGAATAAGATTCCACAAATTGTTCATATATATAGCTGTCAATTTCCATCTGGGTTGTTTCCAGTTTTAACAATTACAGATACAGCTTTTCTGAATATTCATGCATATGTTTTCATACAGACATGATTTATTTAGTCTTGCGAAAATAACTAAAGTAGATATGTTAACTTTTTAAGAAACAGACTATTTTCCAAAGTCATTATAACCCTTTTCTATTTTTTCCCTTCATTCTTTCCTTCCTTCCTCCTTCTTTTACTCTTCCTCTTCCTTCTCCTCCTCTTTCTTCTTCTTCCTTCTCCTCTCCCTTTTCTCTCCCTACCCTATCTCTCTGTCTCTCTGTCTTTGTCTCTACTTCTCTCTCTCTCTTTTCCTTTTTGGTGGTTATTGCCTCAGCTTAACTTTCCAGTCCTACAACTTACATCCTATTGCCATCTTAACGACAAAAGTTTTAATCATAAATAGTTTTGTTATTCTCAGATAGTGGTGTTGTTTCATGGTATTTGGTTCTTATGTGAAATGTATGCATGTGTGTGTTGGAAGGACTAAATGACTTCTCAAATTCCAGTATATACATTTATTATTTATGAATGCTATTCTACTCCTTCATTCCCTCATTTACCCAGTGTTCACTTTCTATAAGTTTATTTTTGTCATTCTTTGATTTCTTTCCTCCCTTCCTCCCTTTCTTCCTTCCATCCTTCATTCCTCCTTTCCTTTCTTTCCCTAAAGAAATGGAGCTGTAGTGTGTTTTTGTACGATAATAACATCTTTACCCAAAATTGATTTCTTTTGATTATCCTTATATGATTTATTAATTTTATTTTATACTCATACTCAATAAAGAAGAATTGAGTTAATGAAAACAAGTAGTCTTTTTGTAGTAAGTATGTAGCACTTTTTTCTTTATTTCTGAGCAATAATAATGATATTATTTCTCAATTAATTAGGATTTAAAATATACAGATTGAAGTAAAAGCAATGTTAAATGGTTGAGTCTAAGACGTAGAAGAAAGGTATTTGCTATCTGGAGTAATAAAGTTCAATTTTATATAAACTACAAGGATAACACAAAAAGGGGTACTTAAGTAACAAAGCGAAACAGTATCTACTTCCAAATTCTATCAAGGATCTTATCATTATTTATAAGTGTTTTGATGGACTCAATACTATCAATAATATTAAAATTCTAGGAAACATAAACTGATAGTAGTTTCCTTTCACTGGTAGTCTCATAAAAAAAGCAGAAAATATGTTTTTGGTAAAAGGTATCCTGAAAATATCTCCTATACTGCTATGCTGCTGGAGCTAATATGCATTGTTTGATGTTAACACAATGATCTTACTCCTAGCTGTTCAGGAGGTTTATTTGTGGGTCTTTCCAACAAAGAAACACTATGCAACTACCAATCAAAAATAGCTCAAAGAAGAACATAAATGTCTTTATATGTTAAAAAGTTTCAGGGGCGCCTGGGTGGCGCAGTCGGTTAAGCATCCGACTTCAGCCAGGTCACGATC